TAATATATCATCTGAGTAGATGATAAAAAGGCAGCGGAAATCCTTAACCTGATGTGTCAGGCTGTCATACATAATTGTAAATGCCAGCCCATCATTGTGTTGAATTTTTTTTTAATGTGTATGTATTTTTGAGAGAGAGAAACAGAGCCGGAGTGTGAGTGGGGGAGGGGCAGAGAGAGAGGGAGACAGACTTCGTCAGCACAGAGCCCTGCGTGGGCCTGGAACCCCCCAGACCATGAGATCATGACCTGAGCCAAAGTCAGACACCCCCTCCATCATTGTGTTTAATAGTGAACTACCAGAAGCACTCTTTGTAAAACAGAGAGGCACCTTTTCACCAGTTTCTTACCAGAATTCTAGTACAAACCAGTACAAGTATGAGGTGTAAGTAATTAGAAAGTGGAGGGCACCATTGACTTGTACATGTGATTATGAATGTAGAACACCAGAGAATCAACTAGAAAACGGAAAACAAAATACCGATAGTTTGATGTGACTTTGTAAAGAATTCCAGATATAATAAGAGTTTAGAATTAAAGCCTTTAGAAAAAAATTAGTAGTCCTTTGAGTGATTTCTAAGCAATACGTTTGACTAAGAAAGAATTAAAAATTAAGGATGACAAGGTCAGCCAAAATGTGTCAAAGCACATGTGAGACACAGGGAATGGCTGTTTGCAAGACAAATGACAAACCTTGTTGTATTTGACTTACAAAGAGCTAATCCAAAAAATAAACGATCAAAGATTGTAGAAGCAAGGGAAAATGCTAAGACTAGTTAAGGAAATGTAGATAAAAATCCAAGAAAGATGAAGTTTAGCTAGCAGATGGCAAACATTCTGCTCATACGCCGCAAAGAACAGGGAGAAACAGATTTAAAAGTTCTTTTTTTTTTTTAATTTATTTATTTTTGAGAGAGAGAGAGAGAAAGAAAGGGTGTGTGTGAGTGAGCAGGGAAAGGGCACAGAGAGAGAGAGGGAGATAGGAGACAGAATCCCAAGCAGGCTCCATGCTGTCAGCACATAGCCTGATGTGGGGCTCGAACTCACAAACCACGAGATCATGACCTGATCCCAAAAGGGATGCTCAACTGACTGAGCTACCCACGTGCCACAGGTTTAAAAATTCTTGATGACTGTTTAAATTGTTGCTTTCTTAACAGATGATGCTTTGGTATTTCGTACTATTTATTTTATTTTATTATTTCTTTAAGATTTTCTTTTTAAGTAATCTCTACACCCAATGTGGGGTTGGAACTCACAATCCCGAGATCAAGAATTGCATGCCTGGGGCTCCTGGGGGGCTCAGTAGGTTAAGCATCCAACTTCAGCTCAGGTCATGATCTCACAGTTTGTGGGTTCAAGCCCTGGGTCGGGCTCTGTGCTGACAGCTCAGAGCCTGGAGCCTGCTTTGGATTCTGTGTCTCTTTCTCTCTCTGCCCCTCCCCTGCTTGTGCTCTCTTTCTCTGTCTCTCAAAAATAAATAAATAAACATTTAAAAAAAAAAAAAAAAAGAGTTACATGCTTTATAGACTGAGCCACCCAGACGCCCCTCACCATAATTTTTCAGAACTTCCTTTCTTGCAGTACAAGGTGGTCAAGGTTCCTCGCACTTTCTCTAATCCAGCCCTAGGGTCAACCATTCCAAGAAACCCCGGGTCCTTTCTGAGGAGAATGATCTCAAGATGTCAGTATCTTGGTGGGAGGTGCGTCCACTGCCATTGGGAGGTTACTGCTTCCCAGTGGACGCAGCTTAGGAATCCGTGTGTGGGGGAGTTTGTGTACACAAAAATATATACATACATGCATTTACAGCTATAGTGTTTCATGCCCACATCTTCTGTTCTCTTAACATCCCAAGGGGTTTTCCATATCCCTCTGTTCCGATGAGAGTCCTTAGTCTATTTTCTTCATTTGACCCATGTCCTGTTGTCTAACCCATGTCTCATCGTCACTGTCCTGCCCGGACTCCTGCTCTGACGTTCCTTGTCAGGCTGTCCGCAGCCCTGCCTACCCTCTTATCAGCCTGTGTCTCCTAAGGCCCTCACTTCCCCTGCCCTTCGTGTGAGTACACTTCTCACTCAGCCGGCCCACCCTGCTGCACTGAACCGCCCCGTGCCGCTGTCTGCCTTGCTCAGTGCCCTCTAATGGCATTTGGGGTGAATAGTTGGGGAAAGGGGAAGCTGTGTTAATTGTGCCTGCGTGTGTGCGTGGGGCGGGGACAGCTTTTGTGTATGGTGCAGACAGGCCAAGTGTTCGTTTTTTGGGGAGATCTGCAAGAGTGGTAGTGTTGAATGTCTTTATTGGGAGGAAGTATTCGAATCTGTTGCATTGTTTTACAGAAGGCTTTTTGTTGTTGTTTTTCATGCCACAGGAAACCTCAGTTTTCTGTTTAGCTTTTAGTTGATTGCGCCTAAATCATCATTTTGCAAATTGTTTTCTCTCTTTTATTCATAGAGTCATCTCCTGAATAGTTTGTATCTAAAGATAAACGTGCTGAATTGAGAAAGATTGTATTTTACTGAATTCTTTAACCATCTTTGGGGATATAATAGCACTGCTATTCTAGGGGTTTCTTTTTTCTCCTTGTACTTTGTATCTTTATGTTCTTAATTTATCCTGCAATTTCTTTTAATATTTCCACTTTTAATTTTTTTAATGTTTATTTATTTATTTTGAGAGAGAGAGAGAGAGCCCGTGCGATTGTGGGAGGCACAGAGAGAGAGAGAGAGAGAGAGAGAGAGAGAGAATCCCAAGCAGGGTCCGCACTCGGTGCAGATGCTGATGGTACAGGACTTGATCCTGATGATACAGGACTTGATCTCCAGACGGTGAGATGGTGACCTGAACTGAAATCAAAAGAGTTGGAGGCTTAACCGACCGAGCCACCCGGGCACCCCTTACTTATTTCTTATATATTTCTTGAATGGAGACAATTTAATGTAAAGGTTAACTACTGATTAACTTTGTATTAGAAGGAGTAGCTAAGGAGCCCTGTAAGTAACGACTCGAGGAGCTGGCTGCCACCCTAAAGTCTTCATTTTGCCTTCTGAGGTGGGAGGCTGTGGGATGGTACTGCTGTCTGAGGTGACGTGTGAAAACCGGTCCTGCTAGGGTCGGAAGAATTTTCCAGGGGGTCTTGCTCTTGCTATGGGAGGTGTCAGATTGAAGGAGGGTGCCAGCAGTGAGTGACCCTGACTGGAACGAGACGCAGACGAGGAGCCGAAAGGAAGTCGCGGGTTGGTTTTCTCATCTCTGGCCTCACAGCCTCCTCCCTGTTGCGTTCCCTGGGGAGTTTTGCAAGGAGCCCGCCCGGTTTGCGGTCCAGGCTCCAGCAGAGTCGGGGAGGGTGTCTAGAACTGGGACAGCAGCTCAGTGACCGCACTGGCTGCTGCCCCTGTGGCTGCTCATCCACACCCGCCCCTACATATTTGGGCTTCCTTGGAACAAAAGGACAACTGTTTCTGTCTCATAGCGTGTAGCTGCCCTTCCTACAGACTCCTCCACTTTTGCTCTCTCCCCAAAATGAGGAGTTCCAGTGTTCTAGCAGTTCCTGTCCCCTTCTCTGGGAGACTGATTAATGTCCTCTCCTGAGCTGTCTTACTTAGGTCTCACATTCACGCTCAACCTATTTGAATATTCTTTTTTTCTAAAGGCTAAGTGGCAAAGGAAGCCTAACAAAACTTCTGTAAAATAACAATGCAGAGGAGAAGAGAGAACAGTTGGTATATCCAAATACATGTGTTTGCAGAAAGAAACACTCCTAACAAGGAAGAAAATATGTATAGTGTCCACATTTCAACAACTTGTCACAAAAATCCACACCTTCCTAATGCATGACCCATTATATTGTATTTCTTTCTTTGCCTTCGGTCAGGACCTTAGCTGGTAAGGTTCTTGACCTTTCCCTGGTTGAGGCGACCCAGACCTTCATTCCTGAAGGGTCTAAATCCCCAGTGGATCTGCCTTTTTTGTTTGCTGTGATTTCCTCTTAACCTTTGCTGATGACCACTCGTGTGGTAAAGAGACAGCCTGCAGAATCTGAGCGGTTTCAGACATGTTCCGTGTCGCCGTCATGGGAAGCAAATCAATTTCCCATCGGTAATTGCCCGTTGCGTTAGGGGTAGGTGTCCTCTAGTACGTCAGGCTAGCTCTTTTTGAGCTGTTTTCTGCAGTTGAAAAAATTACATGCAAACTTCTCAAGTCACGTAGCACCGGCTCAGTATGAAGTTGATCAGAGGACTGTATGGTTATGGTTGGCTTTCCTGCATGTGGAATTGGACCGTGCGTGCTCCTTCATGTCTAGCCACGAAGGCCCATGCCAGATGATCTGTCCTAATTGTAGGCAAGGCATTATGCGAAAGGTGTATTTTGTACCCTTGTTAATAAAGGGATTTATTAGGATAAAAAAACTATGTATCTTATTAAAATGATTTAAAATTATGCCACCTTAACTGCAGAGTAGTGAGTTATTATAACTGATGACTAAGTGCTTTTCAGTGGTTGGTAAAAGATCTATCTATTTATTTATTTCCTTCCTTCTTCCCTCCCTCCCTCCCTCCCTCCCTCCCTTCCTTCCTTCCTTCCTTCCTTCCTTCCTTCCTTCCTTCCTTCCGTAAGCTCTATGCCCAGTGTGGGGCTTGAACTCAAGACCATGAGATCAGGAGTCATATGCTCTCCTGAGTGAGCCAGCTGGGTGCCCATTTTTAATGTTGAGTGAAAAGAGAGTGGGACTGATGTTCTCCAATTCCAAAGATAAGAATGTCAGAGAAAAAAAGTTAGCAGCAAGTAATCCCAGAAAATTAGTCATAATTACAACGTTGTGTAGGTTGGGTTTTAGGTGATTTTTGTCCCTTAGCTACCTAGCGAACTTCTGTCCTTTCACTACTTCCTTCACTGTTCTTTCACTTCTGTTCTGTACTATTTTAGGACAGAAGAGATTTTCCTACACCATCTAACTGCATTCCCTAAAGTGTCAGTAAATAATGTCATTTTCTTTTGTAGGTATTTCCCTGGAAATGGCAGCTGTGACAGTAAAGGAAGAATCAGAAGATCCTGATTACTATCAATATAACATTCAAGGTAATACTATTAATACAGGTTTTCTTTCCAAAAGTTATCAGCGGATAAAATTCAAATTTATTGATTGTCTGAACTCCTTAAATACTTCTTGCTTGTCTGACTGGCATGCGTGCTTATGATTGATCACTACAATAAAATAGATGTCAAAAATGCGGCAGTGAGAAAAGTAATCTACAGCAGAAATGTAAAATAGCCATTGATATTCTTAAAAGGACGAGCAAAAGTTGGGGCACAATTTAGAATTCAGTTCCAATTTCTAGTATTATTTGGGAGACCCAAGAGGTCTTCTGAACCTTGGGTGGCTCTGTTTGTGCAACACAAAATACCCGTATAAGCATTATCCTTATCTTAAAAATCTGTAAAAGGTAAGACGTTAGTAAGTATTAGCTGTTACTGGTCACTTTGTTCCATATCTTTCGGCTTGCTTATTTAGGGAGGAATGGAAGGCTGTAGTTTCACAGTACGCAGCATGCTTTCACACATTATTGGATTTTAGTTTAGAAGAACGTTTTTGATATTTTGTAGTCAGTTTTGTGTTTATGGCTGCATAAAATACATTAAAGTATTTAAAGTATAAAACTTGATTAGTTTTGTTGTCTTTACGTTCGGATAAAACTTTTTTCACTGCACTCGAAATGGGATTTCTATAACCCTCACGTTTCCTTGTGTTCTATTACAATCACTGCCCTCCCCCGCCAACCACTGATCTGTTTTCTGTCATTTTAGCTTAGTTTCTGTCATTTAGAACTTTGTATAAGTGGAATCCTTATCAAGTATGTACTGTTTTGTCGGGATGGGGTGTGCCTTCTTTGATTCTACATAATTGTTTTGTAATTTACCCCCAGCGTTGCATGTATCAGTAGCTAATTCCATTGCTTGGCTGCCCCACAGGTTTATCCCTTTGTCTGTTGATGGACATTTTGGTTGTTTCTACTTTTGGGGGCTATTAAAAACAAAGTTGCTGTGAACTTTTGTGTGCAAATTGTTGTGTGGAAATATTCCTTCATTTCTCCTGAGTAGATTTCTAGAAATGGAATAGCTGGGACACATGGTAGGTATTTAACTTCGTAAGAAACTGCGAAACCATTTTTGCACAGTGCTTGTACTCTTTTTACATTGCCACCAGCAGCGTCCAAGTAGTTCCTAGTTGTATACGTCCTTGCCGACACCTGTCCGGTCAGTCTTCTCTTTTTAACCATTTCAGTGGTTGTCTCCTGAGACCTCATTTCAGTTGTAATTTGTATTCGCCTAATAGTTGTAGCTCATTTAACAAGATAAGCCCTCATCAGTTCTGGAGCATTGTAAAAGTTTAATGAAAAATTTATTCTGATTTGTAATCATGTGACTATCTGTAAACATACATTTAACCATTTCATAGTGAATATCATTATTTTTACTTGTCAGTTTTGGACACTATATTGCTTTTGACATTAGTAATCACATGGCTAGAAGATTGAGATAATTCTATGGGTTTTTAATTAAACAGTTAAAATTTTGGAAAATATTTAGCCTTTATAAATGGAGTTCTTGGTACCTTACTAATACATGTATATTAATTTAATAAGTTTAATTTATTTAATAAAAACTATTTAATAAAATAGTCTTTTTATATGCAGATTATGTTTAATTTTTAAAATAAAAAGTCTGCCTTTGTCTTTGGTATTGCCTGTTGAGCAACTTGTTATTCTCCGCCACGAGTATGTTCCCTTTTGAGATTGTGAGTGTGAGTGATTTAAAGGTGATGCCTGAGAAGTAAGAGTTGGAAATCTGATGCTTTAGAGGGAAAGATTGTTTGAAATGATAGTATCTTCAGTACAGTTGAAGAAGGTAGGAGCTAGCAAGCTGAGAGATCTAGTCCACACAATGTGGACGTTTTTCTGAGTAATTGAGTTTGTATATTCTGTGTAAAAGTATACTCTGAATAAAAGTCCTGTGTGATATGATTTACAAATAGTTCAATTTGATGAAGTCCAGTTCATTGATCCCCACCCCCCTCATTGTATGGATTGTCCTTAAATATCATAGGTAAGAAATCTTTGACCCAAAGTCACCGATTTTCATCTATGCTTTATGAAAAATCAGTAGTTTTACCTTTAGGTCTTCATCAGTTTAGGTCTAATTTTTATGTGGTCCACTTTTTCCAGCACCATTTGTTGAAAAAACTTTTCTCCACTGCATTTCCTTTACATCTCTGTATGTTCTGTTACGTTGGTCTCTGTGTATCCTTTTGCCAAAATCACATTGTGTTGGGCACTACAGCTTATAGTAAGTTATGAATTCGGATTGTGAGTGTCTACAAAATTGTTCTCCTTTTTAAAAATTATTTTGCCTATTATAGCTCCTTTATCTTTTCATATAAATTTCAAAATTAGCTTGGTGATCAAAAAATTATAGGGATTTTAATAGTGATTATGCTGAATCTGTACAGCTAATTGGGTTGAGTATCTTAATATCCAATCTTCTGATTCATGAGCATGGTTTATATTTCTTACCTATTTAGCTTTTACTAGATTTCTTTCATCAGTGCTTTGTTTTCAGCATAGAGATCCTATTGTGCACAGTTTGTGAGATTGTATACCTAAGTATTTAATGGGTTTTGGTGTTACTGTAAATGCTACTGTTCTTTTGCATTTCAGGTTCCAACTATGGCCAATGCATCGAACTATAATTGATTTTCACATACTGGCCTTGTATCTTGTGATGTCGTTAAAAATGACTTACTGGTTCTAGCAACTTTTTGGTAAAATCTTTGGGACTTTGTAGGTCGACGGTGTTATTTCTTCCATTTCCTTTCCTTGTGTAATTGCACTGTCTGGGACCCTCTAGTAGCTGAATAGGAGTAGTGAGAGGAGACATCCCTACCCTGTTCACAATTTTAGAAGGAAATCTTTCAGTATGATAGCTGTGGGTTTTTGGTAGGTGCCCTTCTTCCGTTTGAGGAAGTTCTCTTGTGTTCAGAGTTTGGGAAGAGTTTTTTATGATTATTGGATATTGAATTTGTAGAAGGTCTTATCTGTGTCCCTTGATGATTATATAGGGTTTTCTTGTTTAGTCTGTTAAACTGGTAGTTGATATTAATTTTCACTTGTTAAAACCAGCCGCGGATTACTGGGGTAATAAACCCTGCTTGGTTATAATGTATTCTTTTTTATGTATTATTGATTGTTATTAAGAGATGCTAGATGATTTCTGGTAAATGTATTTATTTGGCTTTGGTAATATTGGCCTCAATAAAACAAATTGGGAAGTGATATATTGGAAGAGTTTTTTGGTAGAATTGGTATTGTTCTGTTCTTGTTTGGTCAAATTGCCGGTGAAGCTACCTAGACCTTTTGGTTTCCATAATGGAAAATTTTTAAGCTTGGTCTTTGTTTTTTGTTTTTTTAAACAAAGTTTTTTTTTCAATGTTTATTTTTGAGAGACAGAGCATGAGTGGGGGAGGGGCAGAGAGAGAGGGAGACACAGACTCCAAAGCAGGCTCCAGTCTCCAGGCTGTCAGCACAGAGCCCGATGTGGGGCTCGAACCCACGAACCATGAGATCGTGACCTGAGCCGAAGTTGGACACTTAACTGACTGAGCCACCCAGGCGCCCAAGTTCAGTCTATTTTTTAGTTTTTAAATGTATTTTAATAGTTACAGGATTGTTCAGGTTATGTATTTCCTCTTGATTGAGCTGTGGCAGTTTATATCTCAGGGAATTTGTCTACTTTACCTTAAGTAGTGTTTTTTAAATTTTACTATTTGCAAAGTCTATAGTGATGTCCCTCTCGTTGCCAATTTTGTAATTTGTGTCTTTTTTTCTTGGTTGCTCTAGCTCGAGGTTTCTCAAGACGTCAATATTTACATTTTGAGCAAACAGTGCATTGTCGTTGGTATCTTTCTTATGCTGTCTCTATATTGTAGAATGTTTAGGAGACCTCCCTGGCCTTTTACCCACTAGATACCAGAAGCATCTCCTTAGTTGTAACAATCAAAAATGTTATAGGATATATTCACTCCCAGGGGAATGGGGACACGGTCACTACCAGTGGAGAACCATTGGTCCAGCTCTCGAGCTTTCTCAAATGTTCTCATTTTTCTCAAAGATCCAGCTTTTACCGAGGCATCTGGGTGGCTCAGTCGGTTGAGCTTCTGAATCTTGATTTCGGCTCAGGTCATGGTTCCAGGGTCATGAGATTAAGCCCATGTCGGGCTCGACACTGAGTGTGGAGCCTGCTTGAGGTTCTTCTCTCTCTCTCTCCCTCTGCCACTCTCTTCTGCTTTTGTGCTTGCTCTCTCTCTAAGAAAAAAAAAAAATCCATTTTTCCTCTCTGTTCTATGGTTTTTCCATAGTGTGTAGCTATTTTTTAAATTTTAATTTAAATATAGTAACAGTTAACATACAATATAGTGATTCAACACTTCATACAGCACCCAGTGCTCATCACTACAGGTGCCCTCCTTAATCCCCCTTAATCCCCACCCACCTCCACCCCTGGCAACCATCAGTGTGTTCTCTATGGTTAAGCATCTTTCTTGCGGGCGCCCAGGTGGCTCACTTGGTTAAGCATCCTACTCTTGATTTGGGCTCAGGTCATGATCTCACAGTGGGTCGAGCCCTGTGACGGGCTCTGCGCTGACATTGCAGAGCCTGCTTGGGATTCTCTCTCTGCCCCTCCCCTACTCACTCGTACTCTCTCCCAAAATAAATAAATAAACATTTTTTTTAAAAGAAGAGTTTGTTCCTTGATTTATCACTCTTTTTTCCTGTGTTCAGCTGTTTTGGTTCTTTTTTTTTTTTTTTAATTTTTTTTAATGTTTTATTTATTTTTGAGACAGAGAAAGACGGAGCATGAGCAGGGGAGGGGCAGAAGAGAGCTCCTGAGATCAAACCAGAAGCTCTAGGCTCGGAGCCTGTCAGCACCAGGGCCGACCTGCAGGAACTCGAGACTCATGGACACTTGGATCTGTGGCCCTGAGGCTGAAGAATCAACACCCAACCCACTGAGCCACCCAGGCGTCCCTTTCTGTTTTGGTTCTTAAGGTTTCGTTTGTTAAATTTCACATATGAGTGGAAACTTAAGGTTTTCATCTTTCTCTGTGGCTTATTTTGCTTAGCATTATACACTCCAGCTCCCACCATGTTGTTGCAAATGGCAAGAGTTCATTCCTTTTGATAGCTGGATAGTACTCCATTGTAGCTATATTCCACGTATTCTTCTTTTTTTTTTTTTTTTAAACGTTTATATATTTTTGAGAGAGAGAGAATGCAAACAGGGGAGGGGCAGAGAGAGGCAGAGGATTCAAAGCAGGCTGCACGCTGACAGCAGAGAGCCCAATGTGGAGTTCAAGCTCAGGAACCACGAGATCATGACCTGAGCTCAAGTCGGATGCTTAACCGACTGAGCCACCAGGAGCCCTCCACATATTCTTTATCCATTCAGCAGTCGATGGGCATGTGGACTGTTTTCATAATTTGGCTGCTGTAAGTAATGCAGCAGCAAACATAGTGGTGCATGTATCCCTTTGAATTAGTGTTCTTATTTTTTTTGGGAGATAGATACCCAGTATGTAGATCATAGTGGAAGAAGTGTGTAGGGTTTGGAAAAAATTTTTTTTAGTGTTTATTGATTTTTGAGAGAGTGTGAGCAGGGGAGGGGCAGAGAGGGAGACAGAGGATCCGAAGCGGGCTCTGTGCTGACAGCAGCAAGCCCGACGTGGGGCTCGAACTCACAAACTGTGAGATGATGACTGGAGCCGAAGTCGGACGCTCAGCTGATTGAGCCACCCAGGTGCCCCAGAAGTGTGTAGTTTTAATGTCCACATACTTATGGACTTTCAGATATCTTTCTGTTACTGATTTTCAGTTCACTTCTGTTACAACTGGGGACTATTCTTTGTATACTTTCCGTTGTTTAAACTTTGTTAAGGTGGGCTGAGAGTCGTCTAGGTCTGTTAGCCTTACTGCTATTTCTGACTGCTCCCCTTCCGTCAGGGATACAGTTCTGAGATCTCCAGCTGCCTCCTGATCTGTTTCTCCTTTCATGCTTTCTGAGGGGGCTTTTGTTAGGTGCCAGGATCATCACTAGAAGCTCCTTCCTTGGGGCTCCTTTCCAGGCAACCCCTTTCCAGTGGTAACCCTTCTTCTGACCTGTAAGAACTTGGATTAGTTTTGTCTGGTTCTGTATTTCACATAAATGGAATCCTTTTGCACATACTGTTGTTTTAGGGTTCTTACATAAAACCTAAAATTTGTGAGACATGTTGTTGGGTATGCTTATAGATCACTTATTTGCATTGCTGCATTGTATTTCTAAAATGCTTTCTTTTTAAATAAAATATTGAAATGTACACACATAACGTACATCTGCCAAGGTTTCTAGAATCTTTACTATTTCATCATTTTCCTCCCCACCCCCCAAAACACACCAGTATATAACACGTTAATATGTGTCCCAAATTTCCATTTCTTTTTTTTTTTTTAATGTTTATTTCTTTATTGCGAGAGAGTAAGCAAGTGCGCGTACAACAAGAAGGGGGAGGGGCAGAGAGAGGAGAGCGAGAATCCCAAGCAAGCTCCGTGCTGTCAGCACAGAGCCCAGCACGGGGCTTGATCTCAGGAACCGTTAGATCATGACCTGAGAGCCACCCAGGTGCCCTTCTGCTTTCTTTTCTAGTCTTCTGAGTTAACCATTTTCTTGAAGTTGAAGGTTGTCCTTACGAATAAAGATTTTATGCCTTTACTGCATACCTGTTCCCACAAAAGTGTCTGTGTGAGCATGCATTTTACACATAGTATTTTCTTAGTTTTTTAAGTTTGACACAGATGGTGTCGTACTGTATATATTGGTACGTACGTGTTCTTGTGTGTCCCTCATTCAGTGTGAGTTTTTGAGATTTACTTGTCACCTAGAGATTTAATAGTATTGTTGTGATAGTAGATTGTGTAATTATGCTGTAGTTCATTCTTTCACATACGTGTTTTCTTCCATAATTTTTGGCTAGGACAAAAAAAAAAAAAAAATAGGCTAGGACATATCTCTGTGT